GCTGTCAGACGTGATTTCCCCCGGCGCGTTAAGACTTCTAGCGGCTCACACAGTTTCTGGCCTACTTTCAAACGATTCGCCGTGACGTCGTCAGTCAACCGAGCAGATCCGTTAAAAGGAAGCCCTGACCTGGCTGACGAGTTCAACCGTCATTTCGCGACGGTTTGATTCCGGATTGCCACCATAATAAGAAGCAGCACCGGCCAGTCACCAAGACCGCCAACCGTCCGCACGACTTCCTCCATTTCCACGTATAACTTACTGTCTATGCGTATGGGGTGGCACGAGCAAGTCTCAGGTGCAGAGAATCCAACAAGTTTTGAATTTTGCCGCCAGGATTGTCTCTGGTGCAAAACGCAGTCAGCATAAAACGCCGACTCTGGAATCTCTAATCTGGCCCGGATGGATGACTTGGTGAAGGAGAGGGACGTGCTGAAAGCATTTAAAGCCCTAAAATGCAAGGAACCGCCCCCGGCTGTTCAGTCTATTTTTAAGCTCCGTTCCTCTCTTTCTTTAAGGGAGAAGCGCTCCTCCACGTCAATGTCTCCCACCTGCTCAGCAGCCGATTGGAAGCCAGCAAGCGAGCCTTTCCTTACGGTGCCACGGCAACTTGGAACCGCCTGCCTCCGACCACCACTATGTCTTCATCTCTAACTTTTGAGTGATTAAAAGCTCATATTTCAAAACGCAAATGCTCAGGTCGTGCTTCTTAGTTTTAAACCTACGCTCGGACGTGTGTGATTGCAATGTATTATATCGATCGTATGCTATAGTCAAGTTCATAGCATCGCATTTTGTAGTATGCTTTGTAGTATCGCCTGTTATATATATATATATATATATATATATATATATATATATATATATATATATATGAATACTGCAATGTATTGCTATGTCTTTTTGTGATGCGTGAAGTTTTTGTGTTTGTAAAGGAGTGATGTAACGGCCCAAAGCTAACGAACGTTGCAAGGGGTCGAAACCCGAAGAGCCATCTAGTGGATCGTTGTCGAGCAAAATACAAATTTGAATAGATGTAGTTGATCTGGGGAATTTCAATGCATAGATGGAGTACCACAGTGTCCTGCATAGGCAAAGCACTGGGGGATATCGCCCTCCCCCTCCCCCCCCCCCCCAAACCGGTACCACCACATTTTCACAAAGTGCGGTCTTGAGCCCCTCAATTTTTACCGTAAAATACTTTTTTCGATTTTCATAGTTTAAGCATTGTTTTCAGGTGAAGTGAAGTCTTAGGTCTCAGGTCAGCTAGCGTTTGACGCATTTACATGTTATGTTGTAGCCCCTCCAATGCTGATCTGTCCACCCGATCTCCGAGATGTGGATGCACTCATGTTCTCCTGCATCTCTTTTTTTAAATAGTAATCGCTCACATTTGTCGTTTGCTTTCAATATTGAGTTTCAACATGCCACTCCAAAGTTTCGAGCAAGATCTGGGTGCTAGAACCGCATGGCACAATAACGCCCATTTCTACCTTCTGGAGGAGATGGGGGGGGGGGGGGGGGGGGGGGGAACGTCCGTCGCTCTGTCGGCCGACCTCCGGAGACCAGACCGCTGCCGTCGGAGCGGGAAGGTCCGCCGGTCCGGCCGGAACCGACCGGACCGGTCCGGTCACCGCGACGGCTGCGGTCAGGCGGCCGGGCCGGTTCTCCGAGCCGCTGGGAGCTGGGGGGGGACCTCAGCGGAGCGGGTGGGGTCACTGTCGCCAGACGTCCGGTCGTTGGGCAGCGACTGGCGACTAAGATCGACACGACGCGTGCGGGGCCCTGACACGACTTTGGTAGGCACTGGAGGATCAGCTTACTGGCCTTTTATCGTATTTTTCAGATAGTGGGATGCACTCCGGCTTTTCAAAAGCGGATTGTACCTGTTCTTTTCGCATTGGTTGGAACCTGTCTCTGCCGGTAAGCTCATCGGATATTTGACGAAAAATTGTGTTGGAAGTCACTTTTGCATGTTAAAAAAGCGGGGTGGGCTTCATAATCCGTGACACTGTTGACATGATATTTTCTCCACGTTCTCTGTCGCGTGGTCAGCATCAGACTTTTAGGTAAAGATGAACACGAACTCGCTGTATGCTCAGGCATTCATTTTTCTCGAGTCTCTAATGTTCAACTCTTGAAGGGCTCGTTTTTCTCTTCCTCTGTCACGCCTTCACCCTTACAACCAGTGGGTGTTGGCTGCGCTGCTGGTGTGTGAGACTATGGATCGGGACCCGGGTTCGAATCCCGCTCACCGATATTTTACAAACCATGCCAATGCGACGGACGTTCGATGTTTACCCTCACGAGCTGAGCAGCCGCGTGAGGCGCCCCTAGTCTTACCAGCCAACACTTCCCGAACAACCACGAGATCGTCCCACTTTGGAGACTGGTGGTTCTCCATCGCTGATGCATCGGGTGTTTCCTCCCTGCGCTAAAAGTTCGCGAACTGCGGCGTTAGGCGGACACTTCAGCGACGACGCGACCGCACTGGGTCGAACGACGCGTCGCCTGGAGAGGTCCCCCGAAGCAGTCTTGTCGGGCCAGGCGAATGGTTGCTAGTCTCAAATTCATTGGATCCAACTCACCACGGAATATTTACTGTCTGTCCGGCGTGATTACCGAATCACCCCGTAAACAAACACTAGCAACCAACTTGTCACGACTCCTTAGGGGCCACTCTTTCAATGGTGCGGTGGGTTTACCCGATGCCATCTGTGACGTCACAGGTGTCTGCGTCACAGAAAAAAGGCCTAAGGTCAAAGCGTCGGCTCTGTTGTGACACGGTAGTTACATGTGACGTAAGAGGCATCATGCTCGAGGAAAACCAATCCCTTTGCCGCTGAAGAATTAGTTTCAGGTTCAGTAGACCGAGCTACAGCTGTGTTATGTGCAACTAGTGTGATCCCGAGCACACCTGAGACGGATGGCTCAGGCCGCAGCACCTGTTGTCATTTTGTACCAGGTCGTAATGGAACTACAAGTCACTTAGCCCCGCAAATGAGTCATTATGGACGAACTCCAACGATATGTATGTGCAAAGATAGTGAGAGTTGGCGTTGCTCTCCAGAAAAAGAAGAGCAAATACTTCATCAAGCACGCGACCACATATCTGACGTCATTTGGTATCCGTTGATCGAAGTGTCTATCATAGGTTTTAACTCATCTCTGTCCGCCGTACAATACACCATAAATATCAAATAGGTGGGCTCCCTGCCGCGGCTTCGTGAAATGGTCTGCCTTAAACTTTACGCTTTGGGAACCGATGCAACACCGGTGGGTGGAAGTTGGGAGAAGATGGGAAGCGGAGCAGTTAGGCAGCCTCCCGCCATCTTAGGGAAAACTTGACATCAACGCCATGACATTGCCGGCTGCGTGTTAAAAAATGACACAAAATCAAGTCTGCCTACCCCAAACCCCAGCCCGTCTGCATGCAACGCCACGCAAGATGACATGAATCTTGTCTGTTCCCACGACGGAAAATCGGGGTAGGAGACCAAGGGACATGGTTTATTGATTGAATCGTGACCTATCCCTCGCGCGTGTGCAGTCATACCATGACATCACGGCTGCAATTGGGTAGCACGCAGTACTAACGGACTTCAGGCTAAAACGATTCCCCTCTTTGCTTTTAAATCAAGTCTCGTCACGTGGAGTCTAGAAAAATAAAAATAATTCATAAGCAAGTTCATGAAATAAGCAACCGCTTTTCGGCGCACAATGACCGACAGGCAATTTTATGACGCCTAATTACACAAAGCCAGTATGGCAACGACCCGGTCAGGCTCTGCGAGCGGCGTCTATGATCCTATGTGATCCTGATCTATGGTCCTGCTGTGGTCCTGATCCTTATCCTATAGAAATCTGCCGACCGCTGTTAAACCATCTCCAGTTCGTGCATTCGGTGATTTCATGACACCTAGACGTAGTCCTCATATGTCCTCTCCTCGTCCTCTTCCTCCTCAGACCCGTATCCTCTCTCGTGCCCATCTGGGCGACCGATGAGGGGCGGCTGCTCCTCGCCCGTCGTGTGTCCTCGCTCGTGGCCGTCGGGACGGCCAATCAGAGGATGGGCGGCGGCAGCGTCCTCGCGGGCGGGGATAGACTCCAGCTCCGGACGGACGGCCTCCATCTCCTGACGCTCCTCCGCTTCCTGAAGCAAACGTGACGGCCAACATTCCTGACGCTCCCCCGTCCCCCGAAGCGAACAAGACGGCTAACATTCCTCTCACGCTTCTCCGGCTCCTGAAGTGGAAGTGACGGAAAACTCTCCTGACGCTGCTCCGCCTCCTGCAGCGAACACGATGGCTAACACTCCTGAAGCTCATCCGTCTTCTTATGGCAGCGGTGATAAATAAGCAGAAAGGGAACCTTGCTAGGGTGAACACCGTAAGTTTTTAGACGTGAAAAGACAACTGTATGCTATTTTTACAAATTAATTTAGATCATTAATGATTAGACATATAGCAGGGGGTTTGAACCAAGTGCGCCTTTTAGCCTTCGAAGGACCTTCGTGTTAGATGTTGAATACAGGGCCTCGATACCTCCACGATCACTTCCGTTTGATGGTGAGTAGAGAAAACAACCAGACAGCAGCACGCTCCAATCAGCGGTTCCACTGCCTTGACCTTTAGACGTTGGTCTAGCCGGGCATGACGGCCGTTCCTACTCATTTCACGTTACTTGCCAGGGTGATCAACAGATGCATCGTCTAGTGAGAGTCGACGTTTTCGAATAAACTCAGACCTTAATATCACGATTTGACGATTTATTATTACGAATTTAAAATTTGTTATAACGTTGCCTATGACGCTGCCTGGCAAGGGATCTGAAGATGTCAGCTGACCTGTTGGAGCCTCCTCCCCAAAAGGCACCCGAAAATCCCGGCATGGTTCTCCTGCCACATCAGTAAAGTCCACGTTGTCGAAGGATTTAGTTCGCACCTTGGCCACCAGGGTGTTTAGTTCCTACCTTGGCCGCCAGGGCTCGCTCGATGCCGTCCAGCCGGGCTCGTACGTCATCATCCAGCAGGCCGGCAGAAGCCAACGCGGACTGCAGAACCTGAGGCACAGCAGATCAGGGATCAAATCGGCCTTCAGACGGGCGTTCTTTCGTGAAATGAGTTGAGGGATGGTGGTAAAAAATTCCGCAACTTACCCCCAAACTATGCTAACAAATGGATGAGTTTCCGGATATGGCACACCTTCTTCTCAAAATTGTGAGGGAGGGGAAGAGAGGAGGTAGATTGAAACTCTCCTCCCCACCTCTTAACTAAAACGGAAACTACACGACTGCCTTCAGATTACCTGAACTAATCGTCTAGTGTAACTAATAAGCCGTTTTGGCTGTCTGACCATCCGTCCACTCTAACCATATGATCGCCCAGGCCGGATGGCTAAGCGAGCAGTCAAACCGACCGACCACTCAGACTGTCTGGCCGCTGGTCACGGCTCATCACTCAGCGGTGCAGGCCATTTCACGGGTCCGCGGGTCACAGTTCAGTCCACGGGTCGCAGTTCAGTCCGCGGGTCACAGTTCAGTCTACGGGACGCAGTCCACTCCACGGGTCACAGTTCAGTCCACGGGTCGCGGTTCAGTCCACGGGTCACAGTTCAGTCCACGGGTCGCGGTTCAGTCCACGGGTCACAGTTCAGTCCACGGGTCACAGTTCAGTCCACGGGTCACAGTTCAGTCCACGGGTCACAGTTCAGTCCACGGGTCACAGTTCAGTCCATGGGTCGCAGCTCAGTCCATGGGTCACAGTTCAGTCCACGGGTCGCAGTTCAGTCCACGGGTCACAGTTCAGTCCACGGGTCGCAGTTCAGTCCATGGGTCGCAGCTCAGTCCATGGGTCACAGTTCAGTCCACGGGTCGCAGTTCAGTCCATGGGTCGCAGCTCAGTCCATGGGTCACAGTTCAGTCCACGGGTCGCAGTCCACTCCACGGGTCACAGTTCAGTCCACGGGTCGCAGTTCAGTCCACGGGTCACAGTCCACTCCACGGGTCACAGTTCAGTCCACGGGTCGCAGTTCAGTCCACGGGTCACAGTTCAGTTCACGGGTCGCAGTTCAGTCCAGGATCACAGTTCAGTCCGCGGGTTACAGTTCAGTCCACGGGTCACAGTTCAGTCCACGGGTCACAGTTCAGTCCACGGGTCGCAGTTCAGACCACGGGTCACAGTTCAGTCCATGGGTCACAGTTCAGTCCACGGATCACAGTTCAGTCCACGGGTCGCAGTTCAGTCCACAGGTCGCAGTTCAAAGCTGCGACCCGTTCAGACCCAGTGGGGGAGCAGTCTCTAGCTGCAGGGGGCTCTTGACGGCCTTAGTCCGGTCAGCACGAGGTGGAGCCAGAAGGGCGCCAGTTGATGCGCTGCTTTGAGGTAACTCAAGCAAATCATTGGCTACGAACGTTGGTGCAAACTCCGCACATAACAGTCCCCAGCCTCATCAAATGTAAACAGGATGCGCAGTTTGCTCTCAACACGCCGCCAGTGAGCTCCATTTTGCCATGCATAAGTGAGCATGCATGACAGAGCTCGCCAATCATCCATCAGCTATGTCGTCAATCATCATAATGCAACCGATATAAAGACAGCGTCCAGTCAGCACCCAGCACACACCAGTGCTGATGGATTTCGTTATCGACGGCTTGCAACCGCTTGGCCCGGTCCTGCTTAACATTTTGAAATGCAGTGTGGCCTACAACGCTATCGCTGGTATTTGATTACACAGCCAAGAGTAAGAATAAAATCATGAGATAACAGCAGATATTTTTGGTAAGTTGTTCAGTGCATTAGCAAGGAACATTATTCATACAGATGCACTTGCACTTCTGCTATCTGAATAGCATTGCATTGCTTCTGCTATCTTCTGCTATTGTTTCGATAAAGGCATGACGCCGAAATATCAACCCAACCATATACCCATTCTCCTGGTTTGCTCCGAGGAATAAGGCTAATGCTAATGTCTTATCTATGCCAATATATTTTGGGACGATATTTGTCAATTTATATCAACGAGTGGCAGCATGACGATGCGTAATTTGTGAACGCGCTTGACAGAGTGCCGCATCATTCCACCAGCATCACCTCCACGATATGGCACTTCAGTCTACTGGCAGCAGTTCGTTAGTATAACGTTCGTTCGTTAGTATAACGTTCGTTCGTTAGTATAACGTTTGTTCGTTAGTATAACGACGCAGCTAACCGCGCGGGGATTAGCCTGATAACGCGCTTTTCGCGACGGGAAGCAGGTGGCGCCACGTGCCGAGTTCAGCTGGGTAGTGGAGGCGGAGAGACAGGGATGGGGATGCCGCGCGGCGAGGATGGCGAGGCGCAAGCAGCCCCGGCAAGATAGGCGACTTTCAGTTGACAGGCTTCTCTCCTGACCGGTGACTGTGAACAGTAACGTCACGTGACGATCGGTGACGGGGAACTAGCGTCACGGTTACAAGTTAAGGCCTGTGCCTACATAAGATTGGATGCCACAAGGCGGGATCGAATCCACTGATTATCCAGCTATATTCCGCTATCTCTCGCCATATTCCCCTATATTCCCCTAAATCCCGCCATATTCCGCTATATTCTACTATATTCCGCTATATTCCACTCGGGGTAGCACCGCCTATGCTTTATCCACTCCGCCACGTGTGGCCTTTGACAGTTTCTGACCTTCTGACGGGCGTCCAGGTAGTTGGCCTCGCGCTGCAGGCGGCCGATCATCTGCCTCTGAAGGTCACTGACCTGCCGAAGGTCAGCCACGTTTCGGGCCTGTGGATGAAACCCGAGTCATAGCAACTGAGAGGCAAGAGCGGTCACGGTCCCTCAGGTGTTAAGAGCGCCTGCCTTCCGATCCATCCACCCATGACCGGGTGGGTTGGAGTCTCTTCAGGTGCGAACAGCTCGGATCTGACCGACGGGGCCTGCGGCCGGTGCTTAAGGTCAGGTGTCGCCAGGGGGGGGGGGGGAGAGGGGAGGACGGGCCGTGTCGAGTATTGCGACCTGTTAGGCTTGCGCCGTAAAGTTCTGCCGTTGACCTGGACTGTATTGATCGGATGACACGAGCCGGGAGGCCGCGCAGCAAGCAATGCTTAGCCGCGAGGCCACGCAGCAAGCAATGCTTAGCCGCGAGGCCACGCAGCAAGCAACGCTCAGCCTGGGTACTGGCGCCAAAATCTGTCCATTCAAAAGTTTCGGACGAGATCATGTGAATGGACGCGTAATAACAACAGAGATGTAGCTTCCTGACAGCACACCTGACAAGTTGGAGGCAGTGCCGCCTGTCTCATTGACAGTTGACAGGATCGCGTAACGACAGATTAAATGCAGATATTTTAGCTGAGTTGAGTATCATGTATAAAACACACAAATGGCGCAGCCGGGGTTTTTAAGGGAGGGCCTAGAGTTGGGTGAGTACACATCACGCCGATTTTTAACCTTCTGTCGGGAACCCTCTATGTTGGAAAACGAAAATCCATGCATAAGGAGGGAGGCCGTCCTCCCACGGCCATGCATTGGCTGCGCCCCTGAAACACATTTGCGCCAAATTACTGCGCATATGATTAAAAAAAAAACAATAACACTGAAAGGTACGATATCCAAAGCGCGCAGACAAACGCGGACAACAGGAATAAAAAAATAAGTGCCACTGTGTTCGAAAGCCTAACAAAGACGAGCACCCAGCACATCTGTGTAATTTTGATTCACGTGCACACATCATGCTTACCTTTGGAATCGATGGCCGTGCTAAAAACAGCATATCGGGTTTTACGCTTTGAGTTATGCGCTAAGAACAACGCGAAAGGCAAAGTTATTTTGTAGTCGCCCGGGTCTAGGGGAAAAGTTTGCAAAAACGCCAGCCCATGATCTGTGATTGAGAGCCTGTTTTAATTATTTGTTATTTTGTTTTGGTTCGCTTTGGATTTGAGCCCCTTCGGCACGTGACACCATTCCAAGCCTACGGGATGAAGGAGGGTGAAAGTGATGGACAAAAACTACGTTCACCTTGAGGACCCCCACTGGGACTTAGCCCAATCAGGGACCCGTATATGAGGTAAGTGGGGTACGTGCGGCTAACTTTCCCGAATGAACGAGGCTTTGCGAGGGTACGGGACGAGGGGAGAATGAGGATCAAAGGGTCGACTCATTTCCTTTCGTTACATCAGCCTGTTGCTGCTTGCGCTGGAAAACGAGCGGGACGAAACGTGACGCTGTGCGTAACGCTGTGACAGAACGTGACGCTGTGCGCCCTGCACACAGGCCTGGAGATTACCTGTCCCAGCGGACTGGAGGCCGGCGTGTAGAGGAGCACCATGAACACGATGCAGCCCAGCGTCAGGCTGATAACGCTGATCAAGAGGGTGACCGCCTGCAGCGCTCCCTGCCAGTTGCCGAGCAAGACGCGCCTGCGCCGCGGGCCGACAGGTGGCACTAGCTGCTCGGTATCGCTCGCGCAGCCGCCTGCACCACCGGTTTGCAACTTCATCCTGTACCTGCGCAGAAAGGGGACCGGTGATCGAAGCCCATGCGCTGAACCAGATTGATAGCATGAAAAATCGCGGCAAGACGCCACAGGACTGCGAACGATATTGTAATGGTATGGCATTACAGCTGATCAACGCTACGGCGTGACGGAGCCGCCTTGTTTTTGTAGGACACGACGTATGGGGAAGGCGTTCATTTGACACCAAGATGAAGCATGAGTACAATTAGAGGAGTTCAAACCTCCCCACCCAATTTTAAGCACAAGCCTTCATCTTGCTTCGGAGCTCTCCTTTAGCAAGCTCTACCAACCAAAACGTCGTGTCGACGGAACACGGTCGCCGACGCTCGCCGACCTGCTCTGCATGAATAACATTTGGCATGACATGCGTGCTAGCATCCTGACCTGTGGCATGGCACGGCAACTCCTCCCGCACCAGATGCGAACTGAGGTCCGGCGAGGCCAAAAGCACGTCACACTGAGTGTCGTCAAGTCCTGTTTGACCAGGTGCATAAGGATTCAAGACTTGCGTGGAGAAGACGGGGAAGCGAAGAGGGTTCATCGCTCAAATGTTTAGCGGGGGAAGTGCGACCATGAGACGTCAACGAACGGGTCTAGTCATGATCACTTTTGGCTGAATCCTTCCTCAATATATTGAGGAAACCCCGTTACCAGATCTCCCTCCCCCCACATACACGCACTCACAGCTTGTTTAACCTAGTGTAACCCAGCCATGTAACACAGGCAATTCTTTACACATTTTTTGTGTTTTCCCCCTATACCCGCGAGAGTAAAGTTATCTCAGTCCGGCGGTATATCAGACTTTGTTCTCAGGCCAGGTGAATCTCTATTTGGGATCAGTCAAGGACCGAAATAACTACCGAAGACGTCCGTTCATTTCACCTTTACTTCTGGTAGTGCGGCAATGCCTAGCTTACCTTCGCGGTACACCTACTGAACAAATTATTGCACAATATTTTCGCACATCATGCAACAATTTCGTAGCACAAGGCCACGCACGTCACCTGGTTGCCACTTCTCCACAAGTAGGTACACTGTCCCCATTCCACTGACCTCTGCGAACAAGACCTTAACCACGACAGCGTCCAGTGCAACAGAACAACCCTGGTTGGTGGATGTCGCACAGACAGACTGCTTTCGGTGCTCACCTCTGTAGCACCTCCGCGACACGGCTCGACCGGGCTGTGTTCGGGGACTTTGTGTGGCGCTCGTTGCGCCAATCCCTATCGCGTCGGCCGTCCGTCGAGTCAACAGCAGGAGGGGGGGGGGGGGGGGGGGGCGATAGCGGGGCGGCGTCATCGCCAGATAACCGCCGAACAAGGGCTCGGGCCGGCGGGCTGTGACACACTGCCTGCTGGCCACAGGGTACAGGGTGGCCGTGTGTTGTTACACCCTTCGATTCACTCACGGTCATCCTGTGCCCGTGTGACGGTCACAGGGTGCTGTATGACGGGCACATAGTGCTATGTGGCGGTCACGGGGTGCTGTGGGACGGTCACAGGGTGCTGTATGACGGGCACATAGTGCTATGTGACGGTCACGGGGTGCTATGCGACGGTCACGGGGTGCTATGTGACGGTCGCGGGGTGCTGTGGGACGGTCACAAGCGCGGGTGGCTGTGCGGCAGCCGCAGAGGCGGGCGATTGCGCAATCGGCGCAGGAATGGGGGCTGTGCGGTAGTCACATATATGGTGAGCGGCCTTCTGACGGACAAAGGGGAGAGGACAGGCTGTATAACGCGCAGAAGGTGGGGGCGCACTGGTCGTTAAATAAGGAGGAGGAGCTAACTATCCAACGGACTCTGGGGCGGAGGGAGCTGTGCGACGGACGCAGGCGAGGGGAGGCGAACACAGAGGCAGGCAGAGCCTGTGCGACGGACGCAGGCGAGAGGAGGCGAACACAGAGGCAGGCAGAGCCTGTGCGACGGACGCAGGCGAGAGGAGGCGAACACAGAGGCAGGCAGAGCCTGTGCGACGGACGCAGGCGAGAGGAGGCGAACACAGAGGCAGGCAGAGCCTGTGCGACGGACGCAGGCGAGAGGAGGCGAACACAGAGGCAGGCAGAGCCTGCGTGACGGACGCAGGTGAGAGGAGGCGAACACAGAGGCAGGCAGAGCCTGCGCGACGGACGCAGGCGGGAGGAGGCGAACACAGAGGCAGGCAGAGCCTGTGCGACGGACGCAGGCGAGAGGAGGCGAACACAGAGGCAGGCAGAGCCTGCGCGACGGACGCAGGCGAGAGGAGGCGAACACAGAGGCAGGCAGAGCCTGTGCGACGGACGCAGGCGAGAGGAGGCGAACACAGAGGCAGGCAGAGCCTGTGCGACGGACGCAGGCGAGAGGAGGCGAACACAGAGGCAGGCAGAGCCTGCGCGACGGGCGCAGGCGAGAGGAGGCGAACACAGAGGCAGGCAGAGCCTGTGCGACGGACGCAAGCGAGAGGAAGCGAACACAGAGGCAGGCAGAGCCTGTGCGACGGACGCAGGCGAGAGGAGGCGAACACAGAGGCAGGCAGAGCCTGTGCGACGGACGCAGACGAGAGGAGGCGAACACAGAGGCAGGCAGAGCCTGTGCGACGGACGCAGGCGAGAGGAGGCGAACACAGAGGCAGGCAGAGCCTGTGCGACGGACGCAGGCGAGGGGAAGCGAACTCAGAGGCAGGCAGAGCCTGCGCGACGGACGCAGGCGAGAGGAGGCGAACACAGAGGCAGGCAGAGCCTGTGCGGCGGACGCAGGCGAGAGGAGGCGAACACAGAGGCCGGCAGAGCCTGTGCAACGGATGCAGACGAGAGGAGGAGCTGTGTGGTGAACACGGGGCGGACAGAGACTGTGCGACGGAGGCGGGCGAGAGACGGGGCTGTGTGGCGAACACAGGGACAGACAAAGACTGTGCAACGGACGCAGGCGAGGGGAGGCGAACACATGGGCGGGCAGAGGCTGTGCGACGGACACAGGCGAGAGGAGGGGCTGTATGGCAAACGCAGGGGCGGACAGTGTCCGTGCGACGAACAAAAGGAAAGCTGCGTAACCGACTAGAAGAGAAGCGGAAAAGGCAGTGTGAAGAACGCATAGGGGCGACGGAAGCTATATATCATTTGATCAGGTAGGTAAATGATGTGAGCTTCGATGACCGGCACCCAACGGATGACAAACTTGTTTACAGGTGCATACGCACATAGTAGCCCCAGGCGGCACGCAACATGTTACCAAATTTGTGACGTAGATAAATACGTATGTGACGAAATGTTGACATTTAGAAATTCCAGGTAGACATTTAGAAAATCCAGATTCTAATATAACAATTACAAGAACGAGAGCTCGCCATGCTGTTTCACGACTCGCAAGCGATTGTGTATGCCTGCAGTTAAAAATTCATTAGTTGAGCCACCCCCGCCCCCACCCCTCCCTCATAACGAAGACGTACGCACGCAGTTGCCTATGTGATGGACACGGCACATCGAAAAGTCCTACTTAAGTTTTGCAGCATAGTTCAATGCTTCGTAAATCCAGCAACCGAGTCAGCATGTGGTGAATGCACCTGGTAGGTCGTTAGAACGCCAGCACCGCGTGTAGCAAAATCCACTTTTTGCCTTCAGCCATTGTTATCTAAAGCCCTTTATCGGCCATCATCCGCTGTCGGGCGGCATGAGATTGCATCAATCATGAGGCACCTTTGTTTAAGCTCAGACACCTGCACTGGCCACATTCCAATCGTTCCACCGGAGCCTGAAGTCTTCCTGATTTCCAAAATGCTATCTGATACTTCCTTTATGAAGTCGCCTTCAGCATATTACCACCCGCCAGTTGCACCAGCCAGTTGTGGGATCGCAAGGCGATCCCCTACTTTCTGATTGGTTTAGACGACCACCGGACGACGTCTCACTCTTTGCTCATTGGATAACATCACGTCACTTCTGTACCCAAAGACCATGAATCAGTTCCGACGCGCACCATACATAAACTGTACCTTTGGTGAACCCGAGGGAGTCTCCCACTCTCTCAGGCTCGAAGACGTAGAATCACTGTCGGTCGTGTGTTTAAATGTTGAGGTGTGAGTGTTGGTGAGTGTAGGTGCACGGAAAATAGAACCCCTGTTTGACAGGGTCTCTCTTTGGTACTCGCCAGAAGGACTGGCACGAGCGAGGTCTCCACTAGTACCAACTATCACGCCAGCAGTTAGAAGTCTGCTACACCGCGGTGCAGCATCGCTGTAAGAAGACGTACCCTGAGCCTAAAATTTATAGAACCACCCACACGGACCTTCTGGGCGCTGCTGACGCGTGTCACCAGCTGCCGTTAAGGGAATCGTTGGGCGTCGGTAAAAGCTTCTATCGAACGGTCGTAATTTTCGGCGGGGAGGGCGCCAGCGCTGTAAACACGCGCCATATTTGTCGTCCGCGCTGTGAGGTTAGCATGCCGTAGAGAGGGAGCTAGCTTGCCCGTGACATATGCGAAGGCTTGCTGGATTATCAAACAAACATTTTGAGCCTAATTCACAATCCATCTAGGCTCAAGCCGAGGAACCTGGGGCACTGGCAAACAGCTTTGGTTATTGTTTGGACGAATGTTTTTGAAACGTCCTGCGTTCATAACGTTTAATGGTCAAAACGTCCAAAATCGCAGCATACAGCGTTCATAACGCCCAAAAAGTTCAACATCTCGAGATTGGGCGTATCACAACAGCCAAACTTGCAGCATTTAAATTCAAAGCATCCTACGTTCATACCATCCAGTTTTTACAACATCAGGTGTTCATGACATCCAAATGTTGAAGAACAATATCACCTTATAGTCAACAATAACATCACCTTATCACCTAACAATATCACCTTATAACCAACAATATCACCAACAATATCACCTTATCACCTTATTATCACCTTCTGGTCAATCTAAACCGATGCTTTGGAAATGACCTGTTAGAGGGATAACACAGCCGATTATCCCTGTTATGACGACGAGTGACGTCTTCTGGTGCAGTGCTGCTATCACCATGAGCTATGTATCACATGGACAACGTTTTGTTTACGCAAGCGAACTACGCCGTAACTGGCAGCAAATGTTCGTTAGCAACCGTATTGAAAACTTCAAAACTTTTGATTGCAGGCCCGTGGCCTGTATATCTCTGGTTACTCGGCAGTAGCTGCACGGTGATTGTTGAAAGACTTTCAATGGATGACCTGCTATCGCGTTATGGCGGGCTGTGGATAAAGTCATCCACGGTGTGGACTCCCATGCTTTCTTTATTGTATCAACGATGTTTCACGGACCATTTTGGTGATGCAGTTAATTGCTTGAAAAGCTCTGATTTGCGAGAAAGCCACACGTGGTTTCCATGATCATGGGACGGTTTCAAATGAAACCATTCCACGGTACTGACTTAAAACTTTTTAAGAGCTTAGATCGGTGCAGCTGTGGGCTAACTGACCTATTGTTGCGGTTATGTCTATGTTTCAGTGATCACATTACATGGAAAATGCAGTGTGCTTGCGAGCACGCATGTTCAGCACTATATGACGTGGTTTTCTTATCAGTAATCAGCTCTGACGGAGTATTGAACATGTTAAGACGAGCATGGGTTCGCCATGTTAATACAAATTAGGAACCCCATTTCATCTACAATCTCCAGTCAGGGAGAACTCAATATCACTGAAGAACACAGAAAAACACGGAACTGGAGTCTAGGTGACAACTATCGGACTACCTGCGGTGATCATGGATGTTGTTGCGCTAATAAGAGTTCCTGTGCCGATCCGGGGCTAGCTGCGCGGATCAGAGGGCCTCCCGTGTCAGGGATGGGAACAATGTGATATGACATATCCTTCTAATGGCCTCCAGATCGACCAGGAGATCCTGCCCCGCGCCATCAGAATGGTAGCCAGAAGACACTTCGCGATCAGACGGAATGACTCTTCAGCCCTTGACCTGAACCGGTAATGTAAACCCAGTGTTACACTCAAGAGGCTCCTTGCTCGGAAGGAAATAAGGGGTCTCATTATTGTTGAGTGGAGTGGGGCTCTCATTATTGTTGAATAGGGCGGGTCGAAATACATTTTAATAAACGAGCAAGGTCATGCCGTGTTTGCCTGACAACGTTCATTTTTTTCAGAATGCATCATTCAAAAAAATTACATCAAAAGGCTTGAACATGCCCGCCCGCAACCTCGAGACCAAGGACAAGGATGGC